ATCGTGCAGTCCGGTGTCTGGGGCCTGGTGGTGCACACAAACTCCAAACAACATGCAGAGGGCAGTCAACCAAAACAAAAGCGTTTATTCATTCACTTTTCAGAAAGAGTGAAACTACATATAAAAACAGTCATAAAAATATATTCTGAGTTAGGAGCAATTTAAACAAGACATCAAAATCTTTGCCTCACAGCTTTAAAACACATCCTGTGTAAGAACAATTATAAATGTTAGTGAGAAGAACGTTTCTAGAGGAATCGTGCCCAGGCAGAGCAGCTCAAGGCTGCCTGCCTACCACACGGTGCTGGCCATCAGATCTTTCTACAAGAGAGAAGAGCTTGCAATTAATTGCTGTGGGTTCTGGAGTGACCATAGATGCCCTGCAGTAAGGGAACTACGGTTCCCGGGGAGGGGGTTGTGCTGCGGAGACGGACGGGGATGCCCCAGACCACAGCCCGGGCACTCCCCCACCACTGCTTTTTCCCAGCGGGCATCCACACGCTCGCATTCGGGCACGGCCCACGCTCCACCCAATAAGCTGGGCGTCTGTCTCTGTGTGTGCACCCACCAGAACTGTTTCTGAATCTGCTACTTTCTAGGGAGAAAGATAAACAGAGAGGGGTGAACCAACAGGTCCTGCCGGCCAACAGGCAGATCTTCAAACTGAGCAGGGGACTTTCTGGACTAAGTGTCCTTCGAATGGGAAGTATCTTGCTAACCACAGCGCAGTCTTCTCTTCTAAATCATTCCTGTGTGCTTGGCAGACCCAGGGGGAGGAGAAAGCCTTCAAAACGCCATCTCACCTGTCTCAGCAGAGATGTATACCTCTTCCCAGGAATAATCACCCAGGTTCACAGGCTGCTTCAGCCAACAATCCTTTACTAACGTCGCTAGAGTCGTGCGCTGCTCTGGAACAGGGTGCAAAAGCCCAGCAATTAGATCCATGAGACCTGGGGAGCGACAGCAATAAGAAGAATGGCTCAGGCTGTATTTTAGGCATGCAAAGTATGGTTTATATTCCAAGAATGCAGATTTTTATTACAAATCCTCCCCGTTAATCCCTTGTGCAGTACTCTTCTACCACAGTCTTAGTCACATGTGCTCAGCTCAGGGAATGATCCGAGATTTCCAGGTTTTCTCTGAAAACAGAGAACTGAGCGCAGAGTTACGACACCAAGGAGAACAGAAGTAGAAGCAAATGCCACAGAGGCAACCCAGGCTCAGTGTTTCCAAGCCCTGTCATGCCCTGCAGTCATCCCATGCGTGAGCTGTGGTTAAAGGTGCACTTGGGGAAGCGAAAGCTTCCAGAATTTACCAGCCGACTGCAGCACCCTGAAGCCTTACAACCGTAGTGCTCCTAAGGACCCCAGAGAAATTGTTGATGAAGATTTCTTTTGCCTGACACACAATTAGTTTTCTATACCTCCAACAGAAAACAAGGCCAATGTATTTCTCCTGTGAGGTCAAGCCACATGGTTCATTCAGAAATTATAAATTAACACGTTATCATTGTTGTGGCTTAGCCCTAGCCGGCAGCTGAACACCACACGCTGCTCGCTCACCCCTCCGCCCCGGCAGGATGAGAAGAAAAAGGTAAAACTGGTAGGTTGGGGTAAGGACAGTTTACCGGGACAGCAAAGGGAGAGGGAAACAACAACAGTACAGAAGGTACCAAGCAGTGATACACAATGGAGTTTGCTCACTGCCTGAGCCCGATGCCCAGCCTGTCCCCAGCAGCTGCCCCTCCTCCCCGCCAGCCCCCTTTATATACAGGGCATGACATCATATGGTATGGAATGTGCCTTTGGCTAGTTTGGGTCAACTGTCCTGGCTGTGTCCCCTCCCAGCTTCTGGTGAAAATTAACTCTATCCCAGCTGAAAACCAGGGCAATCATCCATCCCAGAAGTGACATGGCATGCACTGGCAGTAGTTGAAGTGAGATAAAACTTGTGTCAGAGTTGCATGAGTGCCATTATTCATCTTAAAGTTATCTACTAGAGTGAACCTTCCCATCAGACATTACTTGTTCCGGTTTTCCCAGGTATAAACCTCACTGACGCTTAACAAGCTGATAGGCTGTCATCACATAATAAATACGAGGCCTGGAATTTGAAACTAATAAAACATACAGCAGATAGCTGTATTCGTTGTAGGCACAAAGAACTGCACAACTTTCCTGAAAAGGATACCTCTGCTTCAGCAGGCAGCTTTGAAAATCATTGCACAGCACATTTGGAAGCATTTTTCCAGTCTTCCCCCTTTATTTCTGGGGAACAAATACTGCTCATACTTTCCCAGGAGATCTGCTCCTTTAGAAAAGCAAATGGGAAAAATTCACCTTTTGACACAGGCCGAGGCGGGTTCAGGAGAGCTGCCATGGCCTCTTCCAGCTCACAGAAGGGATTCTCTCCAAATACTAGGGTGTAAAGGGTGACACCAAGTGACCACATCTCCAGCTCAGGGCCATGGTACCTATGAAGAGATAAACTTGTATAAACTCAGATTGCAAATACGTAATTGTGTGCTAAAGAAAGTAAAAAAGAAAAAGAGGCAGGTGATAGCTCTTATCGCCAATTTTTGACATAGAAAGTTTGTGAGAATTCTAATAAGGTGTTTTTGAGAAGTCTGTATTATCCTTCTCCATGAAAGCAAAACAACCAAAAAACGGCCAACCGGTTTCACTTGATGAGTATGTATAACATGCACCTAGACTTCCACATGTGTAAGCTGGTGACAAGAGAACTTAAGCCTCCTCCTTCTTCACCATAAGCCAAAACTATCAAGTAAATACTTAAATGGCAGATCAGATACTTCACTGGAATCCCATTTTCCCCCTCCCATCCCTTTCAAAACAAAAGTTATTTGGAAATAAAAATTAACTATCTAGATTCTGAAAAAAAGGGACAGTTCCTTCACACAGTGCCAGGCTGATTTCCCAGGGCAGCGCTGGTTTATCTTCCATCTAGTTCCCAGCAGGAATTTCCTCTCCTCCTTGCATAGCTTTCCCCCCCTGCCCCGTTAAGAGGAGCTGTCTGAAGGACCTATGAAAACAGCTGTGAAACGAAAGCAAGATAACGTACTTGTACGTACAATTCATGTTTACCACCCTGTGACGGTACGGCATGGGTACGAGACTGCCAGCCTCCAGGCAAAGAGCACGCAGAGAAGGAGAGAATAGGGAAAAGACAGCTAAGATTTGGGCTGCACATCCGAGATAGCAGCAAGACAAGCTGCAAGGGAAGAGCTCTTGAGTCCAGAGGAGCACAAAAATCAATGGGGAGATGAACAATGATCAAACTGCAAAAATTCATACAGGGAAGCAAGCAGAAAAGAAGGGAAGGGACGAGATGAGAGTGGGAGAAGTACAAAACACAGACATGGTAAGGGGCAGATGCTATACAGCAATACTTGCTTATGCCACCTCTCTAAGAGAGCAGCTTTTAGTAGAGACACATCAGTGTGTTCATACTCAGGTATAAGGAGAAGGTTAGCAAGCTGATGTACGTGTTACGGAAGATTAAGGAAAAAAGGACATGTTGAAGTCACAAGAGTCATCCAGACTCTTCTACCAGGCTGGAAATGAAAATCATAGGCTTGTTCTTGAACTCGGCTCTGCAGTGGGACAGACATTCATACAAGGCTTCGCAAAACATCTGACCAGAATAAGAAAGCCTGTCAACAGACTTAGTCAGAAACAACTTTATATGCATTCAAACCTTTACAAGTAATTTCTGTCACTGCAGTGCCCTAAATCCAGCTGTGGTTTTCTGTGGTTAGATATTCTAGCAGAGTATCAATGGCAAAGCAGCTTGGCTTCTCTATTCCAGCCCCACATGCACATTTTTTTGGTGTGATGGACACAAAAATTACTTTTCAGAGGGTGACATACGGTTTGCCAGACAGCACTTCTGGTGAGCAGTATTCAATTGTCCCACAGAAGGTATAAAACAATTTGCCGGGTTCCAGGTAGGCAGCTGAACCAAAGTCCACTAATTTAATTGTGAAATCTTCAGCAATGACAATGTTTTCATCCTTGATATCTCTGTGAAGGATGTTTCTACAGTGGAGATACCCAACAGCTGATACAAGCTGAAAGAGGAAGAAAGAACTAGGTGTTACTACGCAGAGGTGTCCTTCTGGATAGTCTACGTGGCAAGAGCCACAATTTGGCTTGTTTTGACACTATATAAACAAGATACGGATCCTAATTTTGGTAGCTGGAAGCAAATTCTGGCATGCCTGTCAGCGTTGCTGCAGCGGGTGTTACAATGCTCTTGGGAGAGAGACGTAAAAAAAGCCTTTGCTTGCTTTCCTGTCACAAACATGCAGGAAGATGGCACGCTATAGTCACGATGTGCTTGTGGTTTTTTTGGTTAGAAGCATCAGCGCTTACTGTTACAATCCTGCAGGTTACTCTATTTTTATTCCAGCTTCATTTGGAGGGTCCTTTGATTTCTCCAGAAGGCTATTACTGTCTGCCTCCGATACTGCAGGATGACAAAGCATTTAAGAGTGAAGTTTGGTATAAATAATATAGTCACTCCTAAATTCCATTCTTCTTTCTGCATGATTCATGCTATAGTGCCACAATTAAGAATAGCATCAGAATTATATCACCTTGGAGACAATCGTGATCCCTACCACAATGCATTTGAGCAAGAAAAGCAGATGGCTGAGGAAGAAAAGTTTATTAATAATACAAAGCTCCCACTGCAGAGAAATACTGTACAGGTCTGAAGTAACAGGGTACCCCTGCAAACTCAGGGTTGGTTTAGGAACAGGCTTATCCATCAGAAGTCTACAGGGAGCCTAGACTGCAATTTGTGAATGCACACTGCACAGCAGAGACAGAGAAGGTGCATCACTGTGACTACCATCTTCTGTTCCCAGGCAAGGGGAGTGTAGACACAGCAGTGGGTTACCAGCGCAAAGTAATTCTTCCATACTTTAGAGCAAAGAATTTACTCCAAAATGTGGTGAGGGAGAATTACCTGGGGACTGGTGTTGTGGTTCACAGTTACTCAATGAACAAAGCTCCCAGGCAAGCTCCCGGCTCACAGTAAACTACCTTGAGTTGTTTTGCATTATGCTGCATTAAAATCCAAGAAAACATGCATTAAAAAGAGGAGAGCCCTTTACTTTCCCCAGCCAATCTAAACCAAGCATTGATCTAAGCAAAAGCATGACTTTTAGTGAGGCTGGGGGCAACTTCCCTGCGCTTTCCTCCTCCCAGAGAGGAAACGTGACTGCTACACGAACGGGCATCCTGGTGACAGGGGTGTGTGCTGCTACAACCACAAGAGGCAATGGCTCTACAGGAAATCCTCAGATGAAGTAAGGTCCTGTAAAGGCTTTTTTGTTACAGGTTTCTAAGTAAACCTTAAAAAGGTTTCTGCAGATAGCATTTCAGTTAGCTAGAAATAAGCCCTACAGTATAATGAGGAAAAGTTCTGCAGGTATTGAGCATGACTGATTCAGCATGCCTGCTGATTAGCCAGTAATTCTTTGGAATGAAATAGGGTCCTGGTTCTGACATTAACCAAATCTTACCTGCATGTAGCAACTGTACATCCCCAGCTCTCACCTGTCTGAATATATAGCTCGCTAATGGCTCATCCAAGTTGGGCTGATTATCAATGAATGTAAAGAGATCCAGACCAGATCCATGCTTCTCCATCACCAGCTGGAAGAAGTGTTCATTTTCAAATACATCCAGTACCTATAAATAACAGACTTTTAAAATTGTGTGCTTCATCCTGAAACTGCCTGTTGTTTTTTGTTTTGTTTTAAACAAACACTGCTCTCTGAGACTTCATCAATGTGTATTATAGTCTTTGAAGTCTCATTTCACTGAGCACAAATGTTTCTTGAAAAGAGAGCATCATTAAAATTGGGAGCAGAATTAAAACCAATAGGAATTCTCTTTCTGGGGAACCTCCCCCCCCCCCCCCAAAAAACCACCCAAAAAAACCCCCAACAACCCCACAACAAAGAATAGGAATCAAGATATGTATCCAGATTTACTGAAGTAGTACCTGTTCAGATGTGACATCACACTCCCAAGATATGCATCCTATCATCTTGAAATAACATACAGACTTTTTTTCTGTTAGTCACACCTTCAGATCTAGGTTTATGTCAATCGTATGGGGTAAAAGTGTCGAAGCAAGCACTAGTCTGCTGTAACATACCCTCCAAAACAAAGCAGAATAGGTAGGTTCCTTTCTTTCTTGAAAAGGGAGGTTTAATACAGGACAGTTCCTCACCCCTGAAGAGGAACACGAGACGCCAAGCGTTCAAAGGAACCACCTGATGCTGTTCAAACTGCATTTGCTCTGAGTTCACTGTACCTTAATGATACTGGGGTGCTGCAGCTTCAACAGGATTGCAATTTCTTGAGTAACTCTCCCCAGATCAGGATCATCTACCCAGCAGTCCTCAAGCACCCTCTCTTTCCAGATGAACTTTACAACAACCTACACAGACAACACCATTCAGCATCACCTGCAAAAGTATGGCTTTAAGTGTTTGGTAAGTTAATTTCCAGGAAAAAGCTTAGCGAATCATGTTACCAGAAGGACAGAAGTAACCCGATGTGTATTGCTTATAGTATCTTTAAGCATATTTAAACTAATATAGTCCTAGAAGCCAAATGATACACAGAAATGGAAGATACTTATTTTCTTTTTATTGGTGCTCTGAATTCCAAAGGCTTTGACAGGCCAGCTCTCTTATCAGCTCAAGCAGTGGTGACTTCTGGCATGGCAGTACGGTGAAGGGAAATGAGCACTTAACATCCATGCAGAGAAACACCAGCGCTTGCCTCTCAACACCCAAAATACTTCTGCTGATAAAGAGAAGGGTCCCATAACCTCAACATGTCTACTCTACATTCTTGAGTCAGGGCACAATAAAGACTTTGAACTTTGTCATTCTCAGTAAGGGAAGACTAAAACCTGTAATTCCGTTAAGCTTCGTGCATACTTCTTTCAACAGGTTAAGTTAGCTGCATGGTCAGTCTCATTCTGCGCCTGTTGGTTCAGGTAACAGTTCATAAACATCAGTGCAAGTGTTTTGCTGTCCTGTTTTCATGAGGTTAGTGATTTCAGATTTCTGTTTAAAAGGAAAACCCCACACTACCAAATAGAAGATTTTAATAGCGTAGTGTTGACAGAATATGAACACTCTAACCTTTCAGTTTTCACCCTAAATAATTACTGCAATGAGATCTAAAAGAAATATTTAACCTCCTGGTGGTCTTTCTTGCCCCTGGCAGTCCAGACAAAGCCGAAAGATCCTTTGCCAATAAGACTGAGAGTGTTGTAATTTTTTGCATATTCTCCTTCACATGCCCTTAATCCTTCAAGCTCTTCAGCTCTTCGGGAATTCTCAAAAAGTGAAGTTGATCTGATGGCCTAAGTACAGATTAAAAAAAACAAACCAAACAGCAAGAAAAAAAAAAGAGCAAGCCACAGAACCACATTTATAAAATGAAGTAAATACCAAAAAGAAAGGACACAACTGCAAGAATAGCTAAAAGGAGTGATCTTTGGTTTTGATAGCAAGAACTGTAACCATCACCATATGAGGCAACTTAAGTCAACAGTCATCTCTCAGCAGCTACAAATACTGTTTAATTCAGGGAAAGGTAAAGAAAAAAGAAGCATATGCACCTTAGGTGCTCACACAAAATTCTCTGTGCAAGTAGGAAAGTGAATTCATTGTGGTCTGTCGCCAAATGAAAATTTTATTTGATGAATAAAAAATAGGTTACTTTCAAGGTTGTAATTTTTCCAGATAAGTGTATTCTAGATGGACAGAACTAAAAAGGTGCTGCTTTAAGCCCTGTCTATAAATTTGGCTATTTCTATTTGTCTCAGTAACCTCAAAAGAGATCGTATATAAAAGATATTAAATTACCAGTGTTTACCAAACATTCTGGTAAGATAGCATCTTAGTTCTGTAGATTGGTCTCTTAGCAGACACGAAGAGGAAACGAGTTCAAGGCATACCCTCTTAAATTTTAATACCCCAGTAAATGAAATTAAACACAACAGAAGTTTTTCTTGCTCTGAGAGTAGGGCTTGGGCTTGTTTTTCTCAGCAATTATTAAGTTTTTCCACCAAAGATGGCATCTACAACACATGATAACAGAACAGAATCTATGATACAGTATTCCATACTGAGACGAAACACAACAAATCTCATGGGGGCATTTGTTTTGAAAAGTGAAATTTGGAGTTATACGTGAAACGGTCAGAACTGCTTATATTTCGACATAGATGTGCAAGTGCATGGAAGATGATTTTCTAAAAGGAAAACAAGAACCACCTTATTACTCAGCTCTCAAACGTCTCATAAAAAATATTCCAAATAGCAAGTTTTGCCAATAGCCAAGCTTTTCACTCAAATATCTACTCTATCTTCCAGCTCACTGATTAAAGGCAGGGGAGGGAAGCCACATGTCTAATCGGCAGTACATTTCAATGCACAGCAGCTCCTTAGAGTCTCCTGTAGTTTGGAACTGTCACCACTACTCATGCTATATGTGTGATGTCAAATATGTGTAGATAACAAATATATGTACTTCTCTGTTAAGGTCATAATAAAATCCAGCTATGTAAAGATCTAGGGAATGCATACACTTACTCAAGGGATCTAGAAGATCACCATTACCTATTTCAATTGATCAGAGATACTATTTTCCTCTACAGCCTTGGTCAAACTACTGGCACTTTCACATCCCACTAGACACAAAAAAGCAGACCTGAGCAGTTCTGTGTTTGGATTTTATGGCACTGACATGTACCTGCTGTTCAGCTACATGGTGTTCGCTTTCTGTACACCATCCCCATGCAGCATCTCAGGAGGCAGCTAAAAACTGCAGTTTTCTTTTGCTGACACAAGTCAGTCAATGAAAGTTTTGAGCCTAGTATTTCCTTTTTTAATAATGTTGTGTCATTTGCACCAGTGTGATTACATTGATTTAAAAATTAATCTCACCACACTGGTGCAAACCTCCATGGCAGATGTACTTAAACCAGCCTAAGAACAAATTTAAAATTACGTGCTTTAGTTGTTCAGACTAAGCCAAACACACACTACCAGAAGTGTTACAAAATAGCAATTTGTCCTTTTTACAGCAAAGAAACATTTCTATTGACATAATAGGGAAACAAAGAAACAGCAATAGCTGCCCACCATCTGATGACATTATTTTGATTTGAAAAACTTTTTGACTTTAGTTCAGCTTAACAGTCAAACAAAGAGAAACGTTCAATATTATACAACAGTAGGGTTTCTTACTTCTCCAAGACTAGATGGAGAAAGATCTGCAATAGACTGGGCAGAGCTTGCTAGACTGGAGAGCAAAAGCTGAGTCTTTGCTACAGCTTCCTTCTGGCTCTGTAGAAGGTCTTTCACCACCCAGATGCAGAAAAGTATAGCAGCGTCCTGCAGTTCTACATGTTTCACTTCAAACAGTATACCTGTAGAAAAAGGTGAGGAAGTTAAAATGGTAGAATAAAACTTCAGTGTTGAACAAGACCACAGACATTTTAGGACAAAATGATGAGCTCTTATCAAAGTGAGTTCCTCCATTATTCATTTGGAGCACACCTACTCAGTAAGGAATCATCAGAGGGGCTGACAACAGCACAGATATTCTAGAGATACTTGGCAGCTGCCTCCATGGTTCCCAGCCCCCGGCAGGAACTTTTGTCAGTGTCCAATTGTCATTATTAATTTCACATTGTTATTCCACATCACATAAAAATCAGGATTTTCTACAACAAGCCACCAAATCCAGCTGAAGGAGTGAATGAAACACATTCCATTACACAATTTAAATACAAGTTTTACAACGGAGTTTATCTTTTCTGTTCATAAGTTAACAGGTTCAAATCTTTTAATTGTGTTTTAAGAACATTTCTGACTACTCAGTCTGGATTAATTTCTTAGTAACTTTGTATTTTACACCACCTGCTTTTCCAATACTGTCTGAGTAGACTTATTTTTTCTTTTGGATGCTAAAGCTTCTTCCTTCCTCTCCACTGTGAGCTTCTAACCAGAACCATCTGCCTTCTGCAAAAGTGTGGGTGAAACAGAATATCCTGATAAGAGTTTTGGGAAGGGGAGAAATAGATTTAACTTACTTAGTTGTGAACCATCTCTGTGACAGCAATTCCCAGTGTAGCTGCCTTCCAGAATCTCCAAGGACAAAGGAGCTGCTGGATTCAGCCTTCCTTCTTGTTTCACTGGGGTCGACGTTACTTTTATCTCCATATTTGGCTGCCCATGCAACTGACAGTCTTCTTCAGGACTACCTTTGCTGTTCAGTGGGCTTCTGGTGACGTTTTCCCCCACAGTCTCTGCAAGAGTTTCAGGCTTCTCAAGAAATGCTTTGGAGGATTCTTCTGAGTTTTCTAAATGCCTTCGGGAGGCCAGCCACCCAGAACCTTCTTCTATGGCAATACCATTCAACAGCTGCTTTTCTCGCCCAGTTGAAAAAGCACTGTTTTTCTGAGTTAGCATATTGCCTACAGCCAAGTCCGCTTCATTAGAGGAGAATGCTCCTACAAGAGCTGAAGCAATACCTAAACAATTGTCCGAGTTCCCCATGACACCGATATTCAGACCCAGTCCCTCAAGACCAGAGCAAATAGACTTCAGCTCAGTGTCTGATTCTTTAACATCTTCAGAGGTTGTGGCAACTCCTGGTACAGAAGCACTGCAACCTAATTCATTTCCTGAGCAAACACCACAAATAGTATTTTTTCCATTTGCAAAGAAGGATGAAGCATCATTTAACAGGTAGTTTTCAATGTCATTGTGCTCAAGACTGGAAGGTTTTGCATCACCCATCAAGTCTGGTTTTGACAACCGTCCTGTAACAACGGGGCTTTGAAAGTCTTGCCTGCAGTCCGGTGTTGTCCCAGACCATGGCTCATCTACTGTTGGTGTTCCAGGTGAGTTACAGGTAACATCAGAAGGGGGTTTAATTGGGCCACAGGAAGCGGTATCTAGATTGTCTTCTAGCCTAGAACAAACAGGCAACCAGGCAACATTAACTGAAGAAGCTTGTCCCCAGGCATCAGCGGAGTGCCTACAGATCTGCTGACAGTTTACTTCCTTGAGGTCTTGATGATGAACCTGGAATTGGTTAGGCAAGATACTAGTCTCACTGGCACTTTGAGTCTCAGATGCACTGGGTACTGCACTAGCAGTGCTTCTTACTGGAATCTTCGTGCTCTGACCTAAATCCAACTGTTCTGAATCAGATGGCATGGGAGAGAGCCTCGCAGAGAGCATCTTTTGAGAATTATTTGAACCTGCAGTTTCCACTGTTCGACACTGTTCCACTGCTCTGATTCTGTCAAGCCAGGTTTCAGGGTAAGGCTCTCTATGGTGGGCTGACAGCCCATCGGTAGCAATGCTGTCTTCACTGCAAGGATTCAGAGTTATTAGTGATATCGTGATGACAAAAGAATGAGAAAACTGTCGTACTACCCACTCTTCTGTTACTATGTTCACTTTTTAAAAATTGCTCCAATTGTTTTATTTTTAAGTTTAAAAGAAAAACTTAGTTGCCAAAAAAAGTTGGCACAGGCATCCAAAATCCTAACAAATTCCATCTTGACCAAAGAGAGCAGGTACACTCGAATGGCACTCCTTCCCTATGGATTACTTCCTTCTCTAGCTTAATTTGTAAATATATACCACAGAGCATTTACTACAACAAAAAGCCAATACACGTGGCAGTATACTTCCAGTCCTGAGAACAGGAGATCCCTTGTCTGTCCAACAGAAGGTGGATGTCCCCATCCACCAATTTAACCATGGTTCATTGAAGCCCATAGCACAAGTTATTTTACAAACATTTCTATTAGTAAAAACACAGAGCAGAAGAACAATCCATGCAGCAGAGTACTTTCAATCCAAGTATGATATCAGAGACATAAACCCAGGAGAGCACAAGGAAAGAATGAGACTATCAGTCTCTTTAGAAAGCAGCAACAACTGTGCTGGTATAGCCTATATATTAAAAAGGGCAGTAAATCTTTTCTGAGGGTTAGAATTGGAAAAAGGAAAAGGACCTAGAAAGGTACAATAAAAATGGTCGGACTCTAGTAACACCGCACCCTGTTTTAATGGATGGCCTGACAGTTACACTGAGCACTAGAAGGAAAAACATTTAGAATTCATTCCAGGTAACCTGGCTTCAGTGCAGTACCAGCTGGTGGATACCATGGAAGGAGATAAACATCCACTGTTTCTGATCTAGCAAAGACAGAGCCTAATTACCTTCCCCAGCCTGGGTGAAGCATTTGGTCCCTTTTAGAGATGAAACTCCCATAACTTTACAGTGGTAGGTTTTTGTTCAGATCTGTACAACCTAAGGTAGGCAGAATTCAACCTGTCTTGCAAATAGCACTCAGATTCTAAAGAGAGCAAAGTGCAGAAGGCTCTTGTTGCACCTTCCCACAGACATCACAGAGGTGAAGAAACAATTTTTGCTGGTGATTGCCACCATGGCTCTTGATTTTTCAAAGTGAACATGCAGTCCATGAAATGCTTACCTGTTTGAGGGTGTGGATGCCACTTCAGGAGGTGAGGGAGTAGAAAATAAACTGATCCCGTTCTTTGGTTTAGTCTCATCATGTGTTAATTTGTCATCTTTGTCTCCTCTTTCCAACTTCAGCTCTTCATCTCTTGACAGAAGGCTTGCTAAAGATGCAGCCAAGAAGACGCTGTCTGTACCAAACAAGAAATAAAACCTAATTTAACCTTTTATGTTTAGGCTTTGGAGACTGCAGTGATTAAAAAAATCTTGGAACTGCCTTGGTCTGTCTCGTCCCTAAGGAGTTAAGTATAAAAGACTTGATTAAGCCGAAGTCGTCCAAATATGAGCACTCCACTCTCCTTTGGCCTGAAAAGTCATCACATGCAGGAATCCAAATATTTCAGGGCTACTAAAATTTGCCTTCCTATCAAAGCTCTTGGACAGATAAATAGCTCCTGGGTTAACTACTTGGACTGAAGTTCAGAGACCTAAAAAAAGGCCAATTACCATACAGAGACTGGAAATAAGGTGATTGTACAAATAGCAGCAGGAAAAAAAAAAGCCCCAAACACATATACACTTAAATTGAAAAGGTTTAGACTGCATTTTTATAACTCACTGAAATTGCAAGACAAAAAAGCATAGTCTAAACATGTTTAAGAGAAAGAACTTTCCTTCCCCAGTGACAACAGATCGAAAGAGAAAACCACAAGTTTGTAAAGTGAAGCAAACCCAATATTGTTAATAAATGAACAAATTAGATTTGAATCTAGAACAATCCTTCCATTTAGTAAAGGCTGAGTGCCAACAATGCTTCCTCACCGAAAAACTGAATTACTCCTAGAATAGAGGCATCACTCCATCAAAGTATTGCTTAAGAAATTGTATGCTGTCTACTAACTCTTGTTTCAGTAGTGTGCATTGGTTTCAATTCAGACGTGCATTTCTTAGCAAAGAAAAGAGAAAGAGAAAACAGGAGAAAAAAAAAAACAAAATGAAGGAGACAAAACCAGCATAAAATATCTCTTGCAATATGGATGAAAGCATGCACTTCCTTGTGTTCTCTGCTTTGGGCAGAGCTAGCTGGAAAGACAGATTTGGAGACATGAGGCTTCCTTGCTTCTCTTTACTCCTGATGTATTCAAAGAAATAAAATTTTGATAAATTCTTTGTAAATGCAGCAAACTGCATCAGCAGAATATGTGATGCCTCCTAACTGAAACACCAGAGCAACATAACATTAAAAATTAGCCAGCAACATGAGCCAATTCAGAAGAATATTAGAATTTTCCCTTCAAATATTAGTCCTAAGTATCTACAGCTCTGCTGCAATACTGTCACAAAAACCGTATTTTACACATCTTAAAATACTCAGAGATCCTAACAGGGGAGGGAGGGAAAGGGAAGTGCTCATTAAGTACAAGGCATTCTCTATTAACAGTGTAATTTCCAACTTGGATATTCAGTTTCATCTTAGCAACAAAGAGAACAATAGGTGAACAATAGCGTTTACCTTAGGTTACAGTGGAAATTTAAAAACTGCACGGAGGTACACTGCTTTTACAAAGCACGTTCCCACGTTCATAGGCAAATCTCTCGTCTCTATTCATTTTACCTTTGTTACAGCAGCCAGAGCCAGCTGTATGGCAGGCAGTAACATCTTCAAAGATGTGCTCACTCTCTGTGCCCATGGAGTCGTCAAGAGGAGGTAATGGCAAAGAACAATTGCTGCTTCTCTCCATGTCATTATAGAAATCGGGGATCAGGAACGTAATGTTCTAAAACACAGAACGAAACTGTATAAAGCTAAGCTGACTCTCACAGGTTGGGGGCAAATGCAAACAACCACATTTGTGGACCTGATCCTCATGAAGAGCCAGGCAAAAGTGATCCACATGACTGATGGAGAACATATACTCGAAATCCATACTAGCTCCTCAGCACTGCAGGACTTAGCAATTACAGCAAGAGAATTTGCATATCATCCTACAACTCACTCGCTGAACACATGGAACACAGAGGTTTTGTGACAGACAGGAATGAGTGTAAAAGACACCTTTACAATTCCAATGGACATGCTGCCAGACATAGCAGTCTTTTGGGAGGGATTAAAACTCCTATCTTACCTTTCCCAACAATTCTTTCTTTTCATAGCCAAAGAGCATTAAAGCAAAACTATCCTTGATGCCACAGATGGTTCCATTTGACTGGACAGTAATAAGACCACTGATGGTGGAGAAAACGACAACTGTAGCAGCGTAATGATAGCCTGTGAAAGAGCCTTCTTTTTCTGTCTGCAGAACACCATCTTTCTGCACTGCCACCTGGTCGTCCTCCTCCAGAAGGCTTACTTGCAGCTTTAAACTGAGAGGAAACATGTTACCCTCTCTGGATCGGCCCACAGCTCGCTGGATCCTGAGGTTCTAAATTAAAGCAAAAACAAACAGAAAACTTCTAACTAACCAAATGTTTTAGTTTTATTTCAGTATTCATATAAAATTACACAGGAACATTGTCAGGAAAAAGAAGCAGGAAAAACCCCCAACAAACCAATCCTGTGAATATCAAAATGACCCAAGTCTGGTTTTCTAAGGATTTGGAATGCAGTGTTGAACTCCTGTATGAATATCCTGATGATGGAGGCCAGGAAAGCCCATGCTGCAGCTCTACAGCAAATGAGGTATTAATAAGGCCCCTTTCAACTATCTAGCTGCCCATTTTCATGGCATTTGCAAGATCTGGGTATTCTTTAGGCCTTCACTCCTCAGACAGACAGGACTGAAACAGGCTAAAGACTTCAAAGGAATTTTAAGGAGCTGACAGAAACAGCATGGTTTCTTAAAAAGCCAAGATTGGTGAAAAGTGTCTTTCACCTCTCTCCACAGCGAGAGGCCGCAGCTTGGTCTCGTTCCTAGTCAGGAAATATTCAGACAGCAGCTCCATAAATAAGCAGCGTACCCTTTTTCAGAGGACTTACGCTTCTCTCTGAAAAGGTTTTCTTCATAAGGAAGGTTTTCTATATAAGGACGGAAAGAGT